GTACAACCTTAAGGGTCCAAGGCGGAACCCCTAGAGAGTTGATTCGAAGGTTGAAGGCCTCGAGGACGCCACGGACGTAGCTTGCGGCTATCAGCATTCCTGCGCCTGGGTCATTGTTGAACATCATTTTTGTCTATGAATAAAAGTCGGAGCATGTACTAGCATTAATCCCTTACGATTCCTTTGTAGTATTTTTACTACAATGCCCCCCCCCCCCCCCCAAAAAAAAAAGTATTCTAATTATTCAGGCCCCTACAGTACCCCAACAATGGTGCAGGTGCCCTGCATGGCTCCGACAATAATCAGACGACCACTTGCTGGGGTGAGGGGGTCGACCTGCAGCTGCAGAGGCACGATGAGAGCCTCACTTAGCCAATACATGAGCTTTTAAGCTTTTCTTGGTTTAGGGTTTAGGGTTTAGGGTTTAGGGTTTAGGGTTTAGGGTTTAGGGTTTAGGGTTTAGGGTTTAGGGTTTAGGGTTTAGGGTTTAGGGTTTAGGGTTCAGGGTTCAGGGTTCAGGGTTTAGGTGTTACAAACTTTTTGGTTTGGGGTTTGCCTCTTCTTAGTTTAAGATGAGATCCTTACTTAGCCAATATATACATGAGCTTTAAGTTTGTTTTTGTTGTTCTTATTTAGTGGGAATAAAGCAAAGTTGAGCTTATTCTGCTTCTTCTTATTCTTCTTCGCATTGTTAGTATTATTAGGTTTCTGTTTTTATAAGTTCTTTGGTGGTTCTTAGTTGAAGCTTTTATTCATTCGTGGGTTTTTAGAGACGTAAGGATCTGGACAAAGACAGCCCGGCGGGTGATGCGGCTCGAGGAGATTCTGGCGTTCAGCGGGCCGATACCGACGGCTCCCATGAAATCTGTTTGGTAGTGCCAAAGGGCTGTGCGCCGCCACCTCGGGGGTAGGTTGGAACATAATTCTAAATCTTGATTACCCTGAATCCCCTATACAATCCTTATAAAGCCCTAAAAGGTTTGATTCTTATCGGGCCCCCAAACCTACCCCAGACCTGTGAAAGCACAAGGGCGTTGCGCACGCCTGTTTCACGTTGCCTGGCCTGTCACACGGACGGGCAATGCAAGCGGAACCCCCTAAAACCCTCAACCAACAGCGGAGATTGGCCGACCGGCAGATGATAAGCAGCAAGCCGGGTTCTCTGCCAGCGCCACGCCCTAAAGGCCCTAAACCCCAAACCCCGACCAGAAACCCGAAACCCTTAAAAAGTCCCCTCCCTCCTTGTCAGGAGCTCGGCAGCAGCCCGGCACTTGGGTTTTTCGTGTTGATTTCTTGCAGTTTGGGGCTTGGCGTTTGGAATTTCATGTATGCGTGCCCCTCTCCCAGTGCAGGTGCCAGCGTGGGTTTCAGCCTCATAGATCTAAGGTTGGAACCATGGGCCATTCGTGTAACCCCTTATACCCCTGTTGGACCTGAAGCCCTTTAAGCCCTTTAAAACCGTTCCCTGTAAGCCCTTCTTCATAACCTGGCTTCGCAGCCGTCAACCGGTCTCCCTCCTCTGTTTAGGGTTTCGGGTTTCAGGTTTAGGGTTTAGGGTTTAGGGTTTCCACTACGGATAATGGGGCCCCATTCCCGGTGCCCCTGAAGTTGGTCCCGGCAGGTCGCCCATATTGTTGTCTTAGCACTGGAAGCTACCCCTGACCAAGACGTGCCTACAAGAAATCCAACCCTGCACCCCAAACTAGGGTTTAGGGTTTAGGGTTTGGGGTTTAGGGTTTAGGGTTTAGGGTTCAGGGTTTAGGGTTTAGTGTTTGGGGTTTAGGGTTTGGGGTTTAGGGTTGGAGAGTTTTCTTAAGCCACCAGCCATGGCGCACCTTGTCCGACGTAGGGATGTGGGCGCCCCCAAACAAAGCGGGCCCTAAACCCGAAGCCCCAACTAACCCTAAACCCCAAACCCTAAACCCTAAAGCCCTCAAACCCTAAACCCTAAACCCTAAAGCCCTCAAACCCTAAACCCTAAACCCTAAACCCTAAACCCTAAACCCTAAACCCTAAACCCTAAACCCTAAACCCTAAACCCTAAACCCTAAACCCTAAACCCTAAACCTAAACCCTAAACCCTAAACCCTAAACCCTAAACCCCTAAACCCTAAACCCTAAACCCTAAACCCTAAACCCTAAACCCTAAACCTAAACCAAACCTAAACCCTAACCCCTAAACCCTACCCTAAACCCTAAACCCTAAACCCTAAACCCTAAACCCTAAACCCTAAACCCTAAACCCTAAACCCTAAACCCTAAACCCTAAACCCTAAACCCATAAACCCTAAACCCTAAACCCTAAACCCTAAACCCTAAACCCTAAACCCTAAACCCTAAACCCTAAACCCTAAACCCTAAACCCTAAACCCTAAACCCTAAACCCTAAACCCTAAACCATTCCAGCACCGCAATTGCTTACTCCCTCGGTGCTCCATCTCGTGGGCCCCTCCTGATTTCAAGATCCTCCCCCCCCTAAATCTCCCCAACAACCCCTAAACCCTTAACCCTAAACCCTAAGCCCTAAACCCTAAACCCTAAACACCACTTACAACCTACCAGGTTCCAAGTAAGTAAGCCCTGAACCGCGCACGTGCCCAGACCACGCCGCGAAGCGTCCGAAGTTATGGGCCGGGGGCCTTGCGGTTTAGGGTTTAGGGTTTAGGGTTTAGGGTTTAGGGTCAGGGTTTGGGGCATGGGGTTTGGGGTGTAGGGCTTAGGGTTTCAGGGTTTAGGGGCTTAGAGCTTAGAGCTTAGGGTTTCAGGGTAGTTTCAGGGTCTTGGGCTGTAGGGTTTAGGGCTTTAAGGTTTCAGGGTTTCGGGCTTTAGGGTTTCGGAGCTTTAGGGCTCTAGGGTTTAGGGCTTTAGGGTTTCGAGCGTTAGATTTTCAGGGCTTCAGGGCTTTAGGTTTAGGGCTTTAGGGTTTCAGGGCTCTAGGGCCTTAGGGTTTCAGGGTCTTGGGCTGTAGGGTTTTTATGGTTTTAGGCTGTAGGGTTTCGGGCTTTAGGGTTCAGGGTCTTGGGCTTTTAGGGTTCAGGGCTCACAGATTCTTGCTACAAGTATTCGGATTCTTCCTCTTGTGTCCTGTGTCAGCCGGGCCATTTGTGTCGGGGTGTAGGGAAGCAGGTTAAGTTTGGCAAGCCCGTGGATTGCTTAGGGGGGCGTAGGCTTTCCGGGGCTTCGGGGATTCAAGCTTGGCTTCAGGGTTCAGGGTTCAGGGTTTAGGGTTTAGGGTTTAAGGTTTAGGGTTCAGGTTTCAGGGTTCCGGTTTAGGGTTCGTGTCGGGGGCGTAGGGCTTGTGGGCTTTGCACAAGGTTCGGGTCTCTGGGTTTAGGATTTGGCTTTCGGGTTCAGGATGAAGTGCGGGGTGCGCAGGCAGCCTTTCACTTACTATGGACGGACCCCAATTACTTGACATCATTAGCGGGCAGAATGAGATCCATCATGGAGAGGCTAGTATAGGGGGTCGGGACAATGGCTATGTATTCCCTTTTGGGGTCCCAACACTCCATTTTAAATTCTTCAGGCCCCTAGTGTTATCGAATTTACGCGGCACGAGTTGAGACCCTAAACCCTCGACCCTTTGAGGTCCCCTGCGCCCAAACTAAGCCCGGAACCCCAGAAGCCCTCCACCCTAAGCCCTAACCCCTAAAACGCCTTAGAAGCCTGGTTCAGGGGTTTAGGGTTTTCGGAAGAGCTCCTCAAGCCCTATGTGCAAATCCCTCAGGGCTTAGGGTTAGAGGACTTGGGGTGTCGGGTGTAGGGCTTAGGGTCTAGGGGGCTTGGTAGGGGTTTAGGGCGGGTTAGAGGGTTTGAATTGGGCTTTAGGGTGCAGGGTTTAGGGTTTAGGATTAGAGGGTTTGGGTTAGACCCCTAAAACTCTAGACGCTCTACCCGAAACCCTGAGCCCTTCTCCCCTAGATCTGCAATCCTCCGACCAAACCTCCCTCTCCTTCTCCCCGTCACCCCCGCGGCCCCCAACCCCCCACCCCCAACCCCAAACCCCAAACCGGAAACCCAAAACCTTAAACCCTAAACCCCGAACCCTAAACCCCTAAACCCCTAAACCCTAAACCCCTAAACCCCTAAACCCCTAAACCCCTAAACCCCTAAACCCCTAAACCCCTAAACCCCTAAACCCCTAAACCCCTAAACCCCTAAACCCACGAACCCCATCCGCGCCCAGAACGCCGCGGGCCAGAGCTGGCGGCGGCGCCCCCACTGCCTCCAACTTCTCACTCACTCATCTAAGCGCTATAGGGTTTAGGGTTTAGGGTTTGGGGTTTGGGGTTTAGGGTTTAGGGTTTGGGGTTTCGGGTTTAGGGTTTAGGGTTTGGGGGTTAGGCTGGTTTCTGGGGGATCATTGCAAGTAACAACAATGCACAAGAATGATTGTTTTGGGGTTTAAGGTAAAGGGGGGGAGGTTGTGTGGATCGTCTCCTAGCTTTACGTCTTGTCTAGCATTGCGCAACAACGCCTCAAAGGGACCCAAATCGTGCGAGGCTGCTATACTCCCCCTAGAACTAGCCCTAAACCCTAAACCCTAAACCCTAAACCCTAAACCCTAAACCCTAAACCCTAAACCCCTAAACCCCTAAACCCTAAACCCTAAACCCTAAACCCTAAACCCTAAACCCTGAACTAGCCCAAAAAGGAACTACATGAGAGCCTTCGGGTGGATTTTACGTGGCGAAGGAAGCCCCCAGAAGGGCGAAAAGCCTCGCACCCTTCAGAAACCCGACTGTCCTTATCAGCAGGGTTTAGGGTTTAGGGTTTAGGGTTTAGGGTTTAGGGTTTAGGGTTTAGGGTTTAGGGTTTATACTGTAGAGACTGTACCCCAGAGCAGGAACGACAACTAGAGGTCGACGTATAGTAAAAGTGCGTAGCAATGTAAGTCTTCCGTGCAGCAAGCCTACCTGGAACCCGTGTGTGCCTGAAGAGCCTCAAGCAAAACACAGACTTTCCCTCGCTTCAACCGCGCCCGCTCCCTTGAGAGTGCCATGTTCGTGAAAGTAGCCTTCTTGTGCATCTGGACGGCAACTTGGATCGAATTGGGTTCGTGTGGCGCCTTTGCCAGAGTCAGACGTTTCAGTTCTTTGGCCAACTCCCAAAGGATCCATGTACCTACATCGTATACACTCGGGCCCTAAAGCTGCCAGATAGGAATCCCTTCAAAGCCCAAGTAATTACATACTGTTCAGGTACATGGATCCTTATTGGGGTTTGGTCACCTATAAGGCGGCAGCGGCCACTTCGCAGAGCTGCACGGGTGATGCTCCAGACTCGCGTGCCGCAAGCCTCCTTCAAAGTGCAACACATCGTGGGTCCGGCTACGTGGAGAAGCCCCTTTGCTCCAAGATGCTCATGATACTCCCTAAACCCTAAACCCTAAACCCTACATCCTACACCCTAAACCCATGTAAACCCTCAACCTAAACCCTGAAACCGAAGCCCTCGGAGGTTGCAGGCACCCAAGCGGTCCCTTCTCGAAAGCCAAGTGGGCCGGATTACGCAGCTCCTGAATGTGACCGAGTCGGCGAAGAAAACTGGGACTGCGTTCCAGGCTCGGCTTCACAGGGTTTCTAGGGCTTCTAGAGGGTTCTTTTCTAGGGTGTTTAGGGCAAAGAGGGCTGTTTATAGTGTTTTTTATAGGGTTTGGGCAGCTTCGAGTTCTCCTCTGTTTCGGCAGTCGGCGCCGCGTAAATCACCTGCACTCTTTGATGCAAAGCTCGGTAGTGTCTTTTTCTCGTTAACCGTCAGAATACTCATGGACATAGTATACAAAGAGGGAGGCTGCAGCGGTGTCCATGCCTTGTGTTTTAAGTCCTCAAACATTTTTGTGGTTCCCCTCTGCCAGCTCTGCTGCCTTCAAGTGGCCTACTGGTGGCAGTGGTGCGCGGACCTCCTTTGCTCGGCTTCGTTGCTGCAAGCCTCTGGAAATGGCGAATGCCTCTGCGATGGTCAGTACGATGATCCTTGGCAGCAGAAAAGTCGGTTTAGGGGGGTTTCGGGTTTAGGGTTCAGGGTTTAGGGGTATGGTTTCCATTTACTCCTTTCCATGACTGGGACAGAAATACATATCATGGCAACCTCTGTTCATCAAAGCCCCCCTCGAAGTAACAGCAACCGACTTTGTCAAGTCGATAAGAATTCCGCTACGCCTCTACGACGTACCCGTGCAAGTACTCTTGCATATAGTTCTAGCAGTCATCATCGCCTTCATCATGATCATCATGATCATTGTCCTAAGCTCAACGCGCAACTGAGGTGGGGGCTGAGGACTGTAAGACCGCATTCAAATCGGCGGCGTCATGCGACACGCCCGCCGGCTACCCCAGAAGCTCGTGAAGACGAGCCGTGCAAATTCAGTCCCAAAGCGCGTGAAGACGAGCCAGCGCAAAATTCAGTCCCAGGAATTAAAATCTTCCTGACCGAGGCTGCGCACGTCAGAGAGCCTGCGAAAGAGTTCTGGAGAGAGCAAGTCAGTTCCTTTGCTGGCAGTTTCATGTCATTGTTTATGTCACTCAGACTCAGGCCCGCTTTTCTTGTCTTATGTGTCCTTCCTCCCTCAAACTTGCCTTTGTTTGGGCACTCAGCATGCTCCTGCAAACTAGGTGGACCCCTGGGAGGATCCAAAGAGCAGATCCCTTTAAGGGTTCCTAAGAATGACCCAATTAAAACAAAGGGTACTATTTGGGGGTTCTACTTTTTGCATCTTCCCAGGGTCTGGGGAGAACCATAGCCAAAGCATCCTGAACCATTTTTCTGGGTACTTGGCTGTCCAGGTGCAACCGAACTACAAAACTGTAGTAGCAACAGACCCTAAATCCTAAACCAGATGCCCGGGGTATGGATCAGAAGATCGACTCTCACCCTTCCCCCTCCCCCTCCCCCCCCCCCCCCCCCGCCCCGCACTTACCCTCCCAGTTGAGTAAGCATCCTTTGGCCCCTTTTGGGCAGTGCAATCCCAAAGGTCAACCCCGAGACCTCACACTCTGCGCCCTAAGTCCAAGTCGACAGAACTTCCAAGTAAGCCCTGAACCTGAACGCCAGACCCGAAGAGTTTTTATCCAGGAATAGGCATAGGATCCTTAGATTAACCCTAAACCCTAAACCCCCTAACCCTAAACCCTAAACCCTAAACCCTAAACCCTAAACCCTAAACCCTAAACCCTAAACCCTAAACCTAAACCCTAAACCCTAAACCCTAAACCCTAAACCCTAAACCCTAAACCCTAAACCCTAAACCCTAAATTACATTCCCTCATTCCATTGGGGTCTTGGGGAACCCTAGGCCCCAAGCCCTGGTCGCTGAACCCTGAACGGTCCAGGGTGTCTTCTTTGTTCTGGTTTAGGCTTGAGGGCCAAACTGCTCGACTTATCACCATGAACCTCCAAGTAGTTCAGGCAATGAAAGCCTAGTTAAGGGGGGAACCTAGGGGGGGGGGGGGGTAGTAGGCAAACCCATGATAGAAGGGAGCTTAGGGGCTATTTAGTGGC